TTAACTTTCATCTGATTTTTAATTCGAAAGGAAATGTATATATTCTTCCAATTCTTGCAAATAATACACCATAGAGTCGTGGGAGCTCAGGGACATTTTCTGTAAATGTTATAGTAAACGAGCAACTCGGATTCTATCCCCGCCGACATCAATAAAATTGAATTGAATTTACAATTTTAAGCGCTGATTTAACACGTTCTCGGTGGTGAAAGAAAATATCGTGAGGAAACCTGCATGTCTGGGAAAATAAATTCGAAGACATGTAAAGTTCGTCAGCACGCATTGGGGGCAGCGCGGCAGACACTTCCTTGCTCTAACACCCTTTCAGAAGTGAGAGGAGGCCTGTGCCCAGAAGTGGGACATATAAAGGCTGTATCTTTATTTTAGTGGATAGTAAATCCATCACCCCAATTCGTCCAGTCATTGTAGTAAGAGATGCCAAAAAGATCTCATGGCATGTATCAGTCATCTCGTTTACGCGAGGCGTAAAATTACCAGACCGGTGTGGTGAGGCAATTGCGTCAAAACCGTCCACCCCAGGCTTATATCCAGCTGTGGACAAAGAAGGTGGCGACCTACAATTAAGCGTGGTGATAAATTCCACTTACGTAGTTCACGCATAACGATTTAGTCATTATAGATCTGAAGCAGGAAAGTCAATTTTATTATTGACTGCGGCATTAAGAAGCACACTCAGTTTAAGTTCGATTCCCGATGTTGCCGAAGTTGGTAAGCATTTAAAGTTGTATATTACCATTTTCCTGGGATATTAAGCATATTATGTTGAGAGTCCTTTAAGGCGCATCGATACATAGTTATCGAAGTAATCGGATTTCAATTATTTATACTTAATTATATCATAACACATAAACATCATAACCACGGTAATATTATATAGATAATATTACCGTGTCATAACTAAACGTTAGAAATTTATATTGCAGTTTTATCATTTTATTTGTCACTATCAACTAACTAAAAATACATTAAACTTAATTGCACGTTATTACGCATAATACGTAGCTTAATTGCATGAGTATGTTAGGGCTGAATCTGAATGACAGAGTGAGAGATATTGTATGATAAGGGAAGTGTGGTTTACAAGATGGTGTGTGACCAGGATTAAGAAAGAAATGCTTGAAGATGGGCAAACTTAAAAGTACCCTCAATCGACGAGCATGTACGCGTAGGTATTTGGGTATAAAGAAGGCGAGAGGGGTGTGTCAAGATCGTGCCAAATGGAAGTCCGTAGTCCCTGCCTACCCCAGTTAGTGACAGGCGTGAGTGTTTATTTATGTATGTTTACATTGGATGTATGTATAAATTACAATTAAGTTTACTTAAACATACATACATCCAAGAAGACATAAAATTTCGAATGCATCTTTTAATTTTAGATTAAGGAAGCAGCTTTGAATTAAAAATTTATTTATAAAAATTTGAAAGTCGTTAATGTCACGCGGCCAGCATACGCGATTTTGGCAGATGTCGTTTTGTCAGGTCGTAAATAAAAATGCATTATTCCCAGCGAGCTTATAAAAGAGCTTACTTCCTGTGACTCACAGCGGATTAGTATGCGGAACGGGGGTGGCGCAAAAATTTATTTATCTCACATATCCGGTTTGTGGACGGCGGGGAGATTGCGACGTGAGGTTTTTTTTCGTGGAAATGATAGCTCATTGTATGTGTACCTACAGTTGTACGGTAGGGCCATTTTAAAGCTAGTTAAAGTTTATTTTCTAACAAGTGACCACACACTAAATTAATGTCGCAATCAGTGAACATGTTTAATATCAAATTTGATAGACCACAAATCCTCACTAAAGCATATCGATTTCTGCTAAGGTGATTCAAGAGATTATTTAAATTAAAAAACTTCCTAATTTAAATAGATAAGATGGATGGATGCTATCATCAGCTTGTGATCTTATAATTAATAAAATTAAACCCAAACCCAAGCATATCACTGCAAGACGTAATCAAGATACTGTAAGCTCGTTCTACATAGATCGGGCCAAAAATTAATATTCGAAAACTGAAGGTAGCCGGGTTAACTATGACACCGGGACGTCAAACTACTTAGTTTTCTTCGCTCCGTGACCGTAAAGCACCCGAAATGTCGTGAATCAAAAAGTCAAAAACTAAACGCGATAAAATCCGTAAAATTAGTTACATTTAATGCGTAGTGTTCGCATATTTATAACGAATCAAAGTGATCACACATTACTGCATCAGATAAAATTTATCTATTCTATTTTAATTTAGAAACTATAGACCTACAGAAATACGTCAATTACGAAGAGACATCTATCTTTTGTAATTTTTTGGTCTTAAGGGGATATATAACCTATCGGCGTCCTGAAGCTTGGAACCGGGCGGCAGGAAACAAGCTTCAGGACGCCGATTTTTTAGGTAATTTCTTTTTACAGTGAAAATGGTAATTTAAAAAAAATAGAACACATAAGCCCTGCTTTATAATATGTTCAGTTAGTATCCTATTTAAAGTATTTTATGAATAACAGCTGTTTATTGATCAGTTTGGAGGTAACTTTGGATTATTTTTTCTATCGAGAAAATTTTACGGAATCATCTTTTCGTCTAACATAGTGCTTAACATTAATCCTCAACTTTACCATATATTTATTTCAAAGATAATGCTGCAATATTTTCGGCATAACGGAGGATCTTGCTAAGCCATTTGAGGTTATATTTCCCCTTAATTTGAATCGTGATTCTTTTTGTTTAAAAATTTTTTACACTTATCCAACGATTTTGATCGAATCTATTCCGGCTTTAGGTACTGAAGTAGCTAGACCGGGGAGCAGTGTGAAATTAAGACGTTGGTACTGCGAACGGTATTTAACGATATTGGTTAGCCACACTGTAACTATTTTAGGGTTGAGGCACGAATGGGTCGGCTCGACCAGAGAAGGATCACGCTCGCACAGAATACCAACGTAAAATTGCAGCTTAATTCTACTGTGTTTCGTATGGTGAGTGTAGAGAACCAGAAACCCTTTTTATTGTCAACGAGGCATTACAACTTAGTCTTCAGGGGTGATCACGTATCTGCATTTTGATACTTAATTTAAGATATGTGGATATCTATGAACCACAGCAGCATTCACTTACCGTATCAGGTGACTGTAAACTCGTTTGTAGTTTATTCTATAGAAAAAAATGGCGTTTTCGTGGCGATTACGTCGAATCCACACTTACAGTCCCTGGCCAAATTATTAGACGCACTGCAAGATTTCATGTAAAATATTGATTACCGAGTGATATTGTACCGTTTTATTATTTTAAATTGATTTGTTTTTTATTTTTATATTATCCAATCAATTACCTATTTATTTGACATAAATAAAACAGCATTAATTTAGAAAAGAGTAAGTTTATTAAATTTTAAAGAAAAGTGAAATTAATGCTAGTAAAAGTCAATATTTAGTTGAGCCACCTTTAGCCGCTATCAAAGCTTTAATTCTGCGCGGCATGCTATCAATGCAAGACTGTACTGTCTCCTGCATTTGAGGATGATGATTCCACACATAAATAATCTTTTCTAGGAGCTGGGTTTTGTTGGTAATCACATCTTTAGCCACTTCTCTTTTCATCAGCTCCCACACATTTTCAATGGGGTTCATATCAGGGCTATTACCGGGCCAATCCAACAGAGGGATATTTTTTTCTGCCAAAAAAGCTTTAACAGACCGAGCAGTGTGGCAGGGAGCTCCATCTTGCATGAAAGTGAATGGTTCCCCATTTGGAAACCATTCTCTGAGCTGCGGAATCAACCGATTTTCCAGTACTTATTTATACTGATCTTGCCTCATTATTCCTTTGACGACGTACAGACGTCCAGTGCCCTTGCCGCTGATGGCTGACCAAATCATCACTTTGGTGGGATATTTAACCGTCGGGACGACACAATCGGGATGAAACTTTTCTCCATGACGACGACGCACATACTGAGCTTTATTTTGTAAAATTTCGAATGTGCTTTCGTCACTGAAGCAGACCTGTCAAAAATAGGAAAAAATATATAAACTTCCATGTTTATTTGCTTTATTTAACTGAAAATGATAACAATGTATCAATTTTTGATTAAATTGCTGTATCTTACCGATCTCCAGAAGTCCACATCTTTGTCTTGCCATTGTTTGGCCCACTTCAGGCGCTTTGCTTTCATTGCAGCTGTTAACTTGGGCTTCCTGGCGGGGCGACAAGCCTTGAAATCTAATTCTTTCAATTTTCTTCGAACAGTCCGCTCAGAAGCATTTACGCTAGCATCCTGGAGTTGTGATTTTATTACCTTTGTGGTAGCAAATCTGTTTTGTAGACAAATTTTCTTCAAACATCTCTCTGACCGTGGAGTGAAAATTGGTTTTCTACCGCATCTTTTCTTTCTTTTCGGGCTTAATTCCTCCCCTGACTCAATTTTCTTTTTTATGCGTCGTACACTACATTCAGAAACCTTCAATCTTCGTGATATTTCTCGGTTTGTAAATGTTTTCGCAATCACAAGGGCCTTCACTTCAGCTTTTTTACGTGGTGAAAGATCGCATTTTCTACCCATAATGAAAATAATCCAATTACTTTTTTAAAACACTGCATACAAAATAAACTAATAACTGAGTAGTATAAAACTGTTAAACAAACAATCACTGTTCATAAAGCCACAAAAACACGTTCGTACCTGATTCGATTCCGATCGCGACTGATATAGATTTGTACTTGTTTACGTTCATGTATCACTTTGTCAACACAGTGTTGCCATATGTTAAAAATAAATACAAATATGTAGTCTACAACAATTCTTTTAAATAAAAATCAATAATATTGTAGTTTAAATATACCATTATTGCATAAAAACTCTTAAGAAACATAAAATTACTAAAAAAATACAGTGCGTCTAATAATTTGGCCAGGGACTGTATGTCCAGCAGTAAACTGTTTGTGGATAGATTAAAATAGAAGACTGAAGTAAAAGTGTTAGTTACCTGATGTGGAACTTGCTGCCGGCCTCCTTCTCCTCAGACTCGCAGGTCACGTTGCCGAAGGAGTCCACTGCCAAGTACTTGTCCAAATGAGAGCGCAAGTAGATCATGCCTGTAACAAGATATATAATATTATCATTAAAGGTTTAACTAAATTAGCTTTTTTAATATAAGGGTCAACGAACATATTTCCTAAAGATATTAATAGTTACTTTGCAATCATCCGCTCAATAAAATAAAATGATGTGTCTCACCTAGTTTGAAGAAACTAAGTAAGACACATCGTCAAACTATTAAGACACAACATTTTATTTTATTGAGCGGATGATTGCAAAGTAACGCCTGATTCTATTAATGAACATATTTCCACCTAATTGTAAGCAAACGGACACCTAGATCTATCTTCGATTAAGAATCAAAACGCTTATCAGTTGCCACCGCTAACGATTTAGGCGGAATGTTTCGTCTCCAGTAAAAGAGCATTATGCTGCTTTATGCTTTGGTATTTTGAGAACGTGAACATTCCCCGATCGACTCATACTTACTTAGACCATTTACGAGTATACACTTATATGGGATTAAGTTTTTAAAGTAAGTACTTAGAGGTTTAGACGACAGACGTTCGATTTAGTTAGACAATATTGAGATTGTGATATTTTTTAGTTCACTCAAAAAGGTAAAAAATTTATTAAAATTAAGTGTCGTCTTCAAATAACTAAAAACAATAAAACAATTTCACATAAAACTCGCGGCATGTAAGTCTAGTGTAGAACGAAACGTTGAGGGGATAACTGTGAATGTCGTATTAGTACGGGGGACGTAATGCGACTGGAGAGCCACGTGCGAACGATACGCGCAGCCAATATACGCAAAGCGCAATACGGCCAATTATGCGCAATAACGGTCACCGCTAGACTTTCGTGCCGCGAGTTGTACTGAACGCGATGCTTAGATATAGAGCATAACTTAAGTCAATATATAGTTCATTGAAGTCGGCTTCTATTTTAATGAATGTAATATTGTGGTTTGTCTTTAAAGAATACCAGCAGTTCTACTAACACTTCTAATACTCCCTCTAACCCAACCGCCACTGTCCACTGCTGAACATACCGGATCATTCATGGCAAATATGTGTTCTTTTATCTCATACTGAACCGATGCTTATTTATTTCATATAATTTATAGGTGAGTTTTTAAGTGATAAAACTTCTGAATTGATACACTCTATTTCAGTCTCATAACAGTTTTTCTTATTTTCCTCCTCAATTATAATACGTGTTAATTATTATACGTGGTAGAGCTACGTTGCATCTACATTATGGTTGTAGCACGAATGGATCGGATCAACCAGGGAAAGACCACGCTCCCACAGAATACCAGCGTAAAATAGCAGCTTAATACTGCTGTGTTTCATATGGTGAGTGTAGAGATCTGGAGACCCTTTTTTACAGGAAACGAGGCATTCCATCTTAGTATTCAGGTGTGACAACGCATCTGCGTTTTGATTCTTAATCGAGGATAAATGTAGATGTCTATGAGACACAGCAACCACTTACCATCAGGTGGACTGTGTGCTCGTTTGTCACCCTTATTCTATAAAATAAAGATTGAATTTATATTCAATCTTTTTTTATAAAATTAAATAATAATAATTATATATAAATAATTTAATAGAATTAAATTATTTTAGGTTTATTAATAATTAATTCTTGCTATTTCCTACATAAATTTATATATTTTTTATATTTAATTTAGTTTTAATTAACCTTTGCACTTTCTTAACATATTTATCAATTTTATGTACCTATTTCTTTAATTTTCTTCTACTGCAAGTATCTAATCCTTTGATATAATGAAATAAGTTATAATAAAGATACGCTGTATTGATGTTGTCTTAATCGCAACCGTTATTTATTTTTAGTCTCATCCATTAGTTCTCGAACAAGTATAGATAGACACAAGTTGTTATTCAAAACAAAATAGCGTGTTTCACTATTCGGAATAATACTTTTAACGTAAATTCCATTCAACTTTCGATTATTATTAAATACAAAATATAAAACTTTCGCATAGGCAATATATTTGGAAGAAGCGTTGTGAAATACTTTCGAAATGACAAAATATATGTGCGATTTAAGTTAACAGTAGGTATTTATAAAATAAAATACGAATAAGTGAAATTTAATTATTTTTTTAATACACCACGTTTCTTTTCGTATTCTTACATCATCCGACTCCGAACAACGTTTAAAATTTCAAATCTCTCATCGGGAAGTTGGTTTAAAATCAATAGCTAAATTCGAATCAAATAGAAAACGAAAGCGAGTTATTAAAAACATGGTAATAAAATACATTAACAGTTTATTTGCGTAGTTTGAATTTTGGGCCGTTAACATTGAACTAAAAATTGCTTAAAGAAATATCGGTAACGTTATATATAAAAGCTGCAGTCATCGTTTTGTAAACCGCACCTCCGAATTGGTTAAAAACAAAAGACATCAATAAATAAATCCCGAAAGCAGATGGAATTTGACAGTGTGTGTGACAAATGATAATGGTATGAGAGTCTTAAACTGAAGTACAATTTTTAATTTTTAAAAGGATAAAAGAAGCTAAAGAAATATGCTCTTTGTTCCAACGAATCCATGATTCAAAAAGTTTTTTTTTTAAATAAAACTTAAATGACAAAGGAACTTACACCTGCAGCCAACTTCAAACAAAAAAGGCTACAAGATGCTTGTCACCTTTGAGGACTAAGATGGAATGCCTCACAGCTTGCAATTATACTGGCTCTCGATGACCTACAGAACGTAATACAGCAGTCCAGGAACTTCTAATTGGCAGCAGAAAGAAGTACTATCTTTAGTTTTTTAGTTACTATTTAATATAGTACCGTGTACAGGCGGTGTAAAAATATCTACTACCCCATATCGTCCTGTGTGTGTCGTAAGAGGCGATAGAGGTAAAAGTGAAATAGAAAGATTTTATTCGTGGTAGAGCCATGTTGCTGTTATATTAGTAGTATAGTTGTAGCACGCGATAGACGTATAGGTCTATCACAGAATCCCAACGTAAAATAGCAGCTTAGCGCTGCTGTGTTTCGTATGGTGAGTGTAGAGAACCGGAACCTTTTTTACTGGAAACGAGGTCCTCACGGATGACAACGCATCTGCATTTTGATTCGTAACCGAGGATAGATGTAGATGTCTATGGGCCACAGCAACCACTTACCATCAGGAGGACTGTGAGCTCGCTTGTCACCCTATCCTATAAAAAAAGGTGATGGGTAGAAGCATCTTTCTGATAAAAACTCAAAATAATAAAAAAAAACTGCGGTTGATAACCCGCCGGCTACGCGTAGCAATTACAGCAAAATCCCCGCTATGTTCGCCCCATGAGGCAATCTATGGAAGAGCCCTATGTGCGGCATTCAACTTTTGCAGGCTGTAATGGATAGATTTAATATAGGCGTCTTTGTTGCTTTGTTACGATTAACTTTTTAAGGGGATAGAGTAAGTCAGCTCAAATTCTAATTTCGTCCCCACTTGCCCGCGCGTCGTATGCTATTTCAGATTATATTTCCCCTTAACTGTAATGTTATATTAATGCCTTTTGTTATCCTTTGTCCCATTGCATAGTGAGCGAACACGGTTTCATTATTTTTTGGAATAGACTTTACCAAACCAGGTCATAAATATTTGTTCTTTATTTCTCTGAAATTTCGAAATTGGAAAGAAATTTATCTAGTGGAAATACAATTTTATATACACGATTAACATTTTCATTGGAATAAGTAAAAAAATGAATTTTAAAATCTTTATACCGATATCAAAGATATAAATATTAACAATTGTGTTAAAAACTGGTTAATAAAACTGTAAAATATAACTGTTTGCGCCTCTTAAATGACGATTAAAATAAAATTTAATGCATCTACCACTCTAAACTATAAATAAATACGCAAATGTTAAACTTTGAAACATTTCCGAATTTAGTTTTTAAACTTAAGGAAAAATTTTAATATTTAAGTATTTTATCGAAAACTTCTGAGGTATAACAACAGTTTTTATTATATATTTGCCGTGTGTCCGATCATCAAGACATTTTATCTCTTGGATATCGGAATACCCACCTCAAATATCATTAGTATAATAGTACTAAAGGGCAATGGGTTCTCTACTAACTCATATCATCCCGGGGGTTTCGTAAGACGCGACAGAGGGAAACTTAAACAGTAGATAGCCACAGCATGTTTTTGATAAGCATTTAAAATCAAAAAAGCTACAGTTGTCCCACCGGATGCCAAGCACCAACTAAGGGTGATATATATGAGGTAATTGATATGGGACGCCTTTTTATTTATTTCTTTATTCATTATAGCTTTCCTTAAAATAAAAGAATACAAACGGAGGACTTAATACCTTGAGGCATTCTCTACCAGTCAACTCATGGAGTGAGAATTTGACATTTGTAGACCCGAAGTCGTTTGGTAGGTTGCAATGGATTAATGAATGCTAACAACTATTTAAAAAGTAACAAAATGCCATGTGGCATTTGTACATTGAAATTGTCGTATATCAGACACGGTCCAATAGAACGTTCTAATTGTTACACCAACTCCAAAAAAGCAGCCTTTCATCCCTCACAAATTCCCCCAAGAATAATTGTGAAATGTCAGTCTACCCTTTAGATAGACTTCAATTTAGTAACTATTTGTAACTTCGAATTATTTTTAGTTTAGAAAACTACAGAACTGATTTCATTGAAAACTAAATCAAGTATTCTACATGCAATTAAATGTCATATGAAATTATTTTGAGACTTTACCATCAATCATCATAATATCTTTTCGAGTCACTATGCAAGACGTAAACGAAAGAACTCACAAAAAAATTGTCCTTTTACTGGATGTACACACACAGACATCGTTTTAAAAATATATAATGTAGGAGTGAGCAGTCTTTATTGTAACGGAAAAAAACAATAGGTTTAAAAAAATATTTAAACTGTGTGTCTAAGTTGAAACGGCTGTTCCTGTTCCATGAATGACCAATGATCGAAAACATGACTATTACAACAAGCTATTCTATATTCTAGCTTGGGGACGTTATC